TGTTAAACTGATGATTTGTGACCATAGCAATTGTTTTATGAAATTAGGCTATATTTAATTCTTTCCTTTTGATTTGCGGTACTGTCGACAGTTTCTCTGAAAATATTTTCGCGAACTCTCATAAATATAGCCAATGATTCAATTCTACAAAGTCGAGTTGTTCCTGAAAAAATAATATTACATATCTTTTATTCAAATGTTGTACCAAAGGTCGTCGTCATAAATCCATTGAATAACTTAATTATTTCAGACAGACGCTAGCTGCAATGAAACTTTTACTATCTTCTCTATATTTTCGGTGGTTTAGTGATGCCACATTCACTTAGACATGACATATCTTGTTCTTTACAACTGCAGCATTGTTTTCCGTTTCTGCTAAACATAAGAGAGGAAACCTTCCGCATAGCAATAGCCTTTTATCTTTTAAATTCATTTATACCCATGGGAGTCTCTAGAGGGGCCCTAATGAAATCGAGTAAAAAATGTGCTTTTTCATTGAAGCAAGTTCAGCACGTGTGTTTTATTATTGAAGCAATGCTGTATTCTATAATCGGCTTGTGAATCTCCCAAAATTAATAGTTAAATAACAATTGGCGTAATTTTTGGTTTCTAATGTTTTCCCTTCCCCTCCTCCTGGAAATCTTTCTGAGGACACTTATGCTGTTATATTTAAGTATTACTCATTCACCTGTCGTAGTAATGAATTCTCATCAATAAAACTGTATAGGTTTCATTCCTCCCATTTCATTCCTCATTCCAGAAGTCTCATAATACTTCACTGGTTGTTGACAGTTGCAAGGGCAGAGCCATCTTCGCAAACTGCTTCCTATGCCGTAGGTGTACTAAGCATACATTGGCTGTTCAAGGCCCTCCTGTTACGTGCCTGACGTGACAATATCTATTTTTATATGCAACATTTAATATAACATTATAACGTTTATAGTTTCCTTCTGAAGGGCTTAATACATACCCTTCTAATTATACAATGTTCAAACATTTGGTCCCTAAATGATCCAGGAAGAAGTTATACCGATTATCAAAGTCGCGAAAGTGAAAAAATCTTAAATTTTCTCATTTATTATTACATGATGTTGCTAAGCTGTGAGTATTATTTAAGTGATTTAAACTGAAGTCGTTCAATTAGTTAATCAATAGGTAATTGAATGTACTGGTAGAAAATTTAAATAATTCAGTTAATTATTCAATAATTAAACTAGCCTATTAATAGTAAGTTTAAGTCAAGTTAATTAAATTAATCTGTTACACTTCGTATTTCCTTTAAAGAATTAAATTATTTTTTTAAATTAATTACAGTTTCATTATAACACTGTTCTGTTACCATAGTGTCATTTACAAGTTTACCTTTATTTTAAAAGAAGTTCGCTCATTTAAGTTTTGTGTCTTGAAGTCACTTAAGTTTTGTGTCTATAATACGTAAGATGTTTTAACACTTTTCTATCATCATTTAAATGAAATATAAAATTTTCTTATGTCGAAAAGAAGCTGTGAGAACGACTTACCCTGCTCCAAATTTACTGCACCTTCCTCGGCCTTAATAACTCCCGTGACTTCCACTGTGATGACTTATTTATAAATACTCTGAATTTACGAATAGTCCTAAGACTCAGTGTCAGTTAATTACCTTTCTACTATATTAAAATTTGATTATTATAAACCACCCACTCTCTAGAGAGCTCAAGTTGGAGGTCTTGTAATTCGACTATCATAAACTTGGCTAGAACGCAAGGCTTTGCCAAATCTTCAGTTTAAGGTAGTATGCCTAACCATAATCAATGCCAGTATAAATTTCTATTTAACATATAGTTCCGCAAATATATTTTTCCGTCATTAAAATTAGTGCTGTCTCGGTTGCCCTAGAATTCAAGGTCGTTTGTTTTTTTCATTAACGTTCAGCCATGGCTATCTGCCAAAAGGAAGGGATGCCTTTGGGGAAGACTTCTTATGAAAAATTGGCTTCCATTCACGTTACACATAGGAAAAACTCTCATGTAGCTGGCCCGTTCGTCTGGAATCGGAAACTGGTCGAGCTACGAATGTTTAGGGGCTTTACTGCTCGATTGCTGATGGGTCTCGGAAGTGGGAAAGCGAATGAAGGTACCTTTTCTATATTTTCCGCGGCTAATCAATAAGCATTTTTTCTGACATCATTGAAACCAACGTTTAGCATGGACACAAATGCTTTCCTATGGGTTACCCCACTGTGAAGTTACTTGTAAAGTCCACTTGTAAAGCTCCCAAAAGGCTGCTGTTGTTGAAGTTCGTGAATTCAAGAGAATGCTTAGTTTTGCCGCAAACTGAATAGTTTGAATAGTCGTTTTGTTGTTGCGGTTGCACACACACAAACATATATATATATGTAATAATAAAATTCCATAGTCAAGAATACACTTAAATTTCTAACTGTATGTTCTTTTCATTTTAATGGCGACGTTCTCTTATTTTGAGTACGTGGAATTAAATCCACAGCCCCGTAGTCAAGTTGTTTTTCCCGCCTTTTCTACACGTACAGTTATAGAATGTTCTCGAGATATTTAAAGCGAACTGGATTGGCTGACAAGGCTGACGTCATTTCTTGGAAGCTCCGCCTTTCCAGAGGCTATAAAAAGACTCGCAAAAGGAATATCGGGGCTTTTTCTTAAATTGTCACGATGCAGTAAACTTCATACAAAAAGTTATTAGTAATTCTTTTATTTACTCCGGATATCTGATTTTTGTAACTGCTATTTTCTCCTGAATAATAAATAATGGATCCTGTTTTTTAAACTTATCGTCTGATTATTTAAGCTACGATTACATTTATGATTCTTCAGCATTCTATTTATTCCGGACAAAAGCTGGTACATCACATATATATAATAAATAATTATATATAATAAATTCAAAATTATTCAGGATTCCCAGGCACAAGTGCGTACGCTGGCTTGAAATTTAGAGTGCTACATTCGTAAAGTCTTTCAATTTTCTTCTCTAGATTCTGTACCAATCTCACATTAAAGTGGTGTATATGGCGAAGTGATACCCGTTCCTCAGTGCTAAATTTATACTCCATAGTCAGAAACTTCAGGCTACTACGTTCAGTAATTTGTGAGCGATTTGTTTTCGATTCATTAAAATCTAGCAGACAGGCATATATGATACCAAGCTCTGTCATGGTAATCAAGGTAAGGAATTTTGAAACAAGAATGCGTTATGTTTTACATAACATTGCCTCCATTTCTCCTTCAGTTGTTGTATCTGCTATTTCAACTTTCAAATAGATTATACACTGAAGTGACTAAAGTCATGGGATAGCAATATGCAAATATACAGATGGCAGTAGTATCGCGTAGAAAATGTATAAATGCGAAGTGCTTTGGCAGGGCTTTCATTTGTGTTGAAGTTATTCATGTGAAGAGGCTTTGACGTGATTATGGCCCCACGACGAGAATTAACAGACTTTGAACGTGGAGTGGTAGATGGATCTAGACGCATGGGTCATTCCATTTCGGATATCGTTAGGGAATTCAACACTCTGAGATCCACAGTGTCAAGAGTGTGCCGAGAGTATCTAATTTCAGGCATAACATCCCACCATGGACAGCGCAGTGGCCAACCACCTGCACTTAACGACCGAGACCAGCGACGTCTGCGTAGAGTTGTCAATGTTCACAGACAAACAACACTGCGTCAAATAACCGCAGAAATCAAAGTGGGACGTACGAGGGATGTGCCCGATAGTGGGGCGAAATTTGTCTTTCTTGGGCTATTCCAGCAGAAGACCGACTCGAGTGCCTTTACTGACAGCACGACATCGCCTGCAGCGACTCTCGTGGGCTCGTGAACATATCGGTTGGTCCCTAAATGAATGGAAAACCGTGGCGGGGTCAGATGAGTCACGATTTCAGTTGGTAAGAGCTGATGGTAGGGTTCGAGTGTGGCGCAGGCCCCACGAAGCCATAGACCCAAGTTGTCAACAAGGCACTGTTCAAGCTGGTGGTGGTTCCATAATGGTCTGGGCTGTTTTTACATGGCATGGACTCGGTCCTCTGGTGCAACTGAACCGATTATTGACTGGAAATGGATACCTTCAGCTACTTGGAGATCACTTACAGCCATTCATAGACTTCACGTACCCAAACAACGATGAGATTTTTATGGATGACAATGCGCCATGTCACCGGGCCACAATTGTTCGCGATTGGTTAGAAGAACCTTCTGGACAATTCCAGCGAATGATGGCCACCTAGATCGCCCGTCATGAATCCCATCGAACATTTATGGGACATCATCGAGAGGTCAGTTCGTGCTCAAAACCCTGCACCGTCAACACTTTCACAATTATGGACGTCTATAGAGGCAGCATGGCTCAATATTCCTGCAGGGGACTTCCACCGACTTATTGAGTACATGCTACGTCGAGTTGCTGCACTTCGCCGGGCAAAAGGAGGACCGACAAAATATTAGGAGGTATCCCATGACTTTTGTCACTTCAGTGTAAGGTATTTCTCCCGCCTTCTTAGCGAACCGTCGTGGTGTAGTGGTCTGCACGCTTATCGCGTAATTGAGAGGTGCGCGGTTCGATTCCCGGCAAAGGCGTTGTTAATCTTTCATCTTGCCTGCTTCAAAAAATACCTAATGTCTCTACAAGATTAATAAATAAATAAATAAAATTATATAAATAAAATTTCCTTAAACTATTGCGAGTCATATTTTAAAATGGCATTTTCCCCTTTCTTCCTTATTTGATTCTTGGAAAACTTATAATAAACAAAAACCTTCCTAACCTACCACTTTGCAAAACACTGATCTAGAATATAAAATTATCTAAAAGTCTGAATTAATGGTAATCTGATTGTTTTCTTTCATTCTAATGTACGAGTATTATGATAGGATGAAAAATTTACTGTAAAATCGCATTCATTTAACAAACACAATTCATTTCATTCTATTTTATTTAGAATTAGTATCACTGAAAATTTACCATGTTCATTTGTATTTAGCGAAAGAAAAGATATGCGGCTTCCCAGGAACTCCAGCGTACGGATTCGTGAAACCGGATGACATTGGTTATGTCGAAGGAGCTGTGGTTACTTATACCTGCAGAGTTGGTTACATTCTTCTTGGATCTCCAATAAGCAGATGCACTAGTAATGGTTCCTGGTCTGAAGAGGTGCCTATATGCGGTAAGTTTATTACCACTTTGGTTGAAATATCCCGTTTCTTATTTTTACTAAACAGTTTGAAAATTCTTATGAAGTTTTAACCAGCTGCTGTTGCTTTTAGGTAATGAAAATTAAGCCTATTAAGTCTAAGATATTTGTATTATATTACATTTGCTTTCTCACAGCAGTAGATATCAATGGATTTGGAAGTGTCATTCATTAGAATAGAGACTACCTTTTTTTTTTTCTTTTTTCGGGATTTGAAATTTAGAAGTTTTATGATGCTAAAGAAATTATTTTTAGCGATAGGGAAAACACGAATTGTCTCAACACGATTATATAGTAAAGACAAGTAATACATTTCTGTTGTAGAAATTAAAAGAAAATTTAATTATTGATATTACTCTGTAGGGACATTAGAATATTTTTTAGAGCAAAAGAGATGAAAAATTAGCAACCGCCTTCGCCGGGAATCGAACCACGGACTTCTGGAATACCGAACCAGCGTGCAGAACCACTATACTACGAAGGCACGCTAGGAAAGTGGGAGAAATACTTTATCTACTCCTCTTTTTAAAGGGCGACTGGGGTTTTTAGGGGACTCAATCGCCATATCCCGGGTGTGAAGAGTCATCATCCACAACCCTTTTAGTTCGCGCGCCACTTGTAGAGACATTAGAATATTTTTAGAGCAAGAGAGATGAAACATTAGCAATCGCCTTCGCCGGGAATCGAACCGCGGACATCTGGAATACCGGCGCAGCGTGCAGAACCACTACACCACGAAGGCACCCTAGGAAAGTGGGAGAAATACCTTATAACTCTCAGCAATAAGAAGAGAAGATTAAAATGAAAGACCTTATGTTATATATTCATTTTAAAATCTTTAATTTTTTATTTAGTGTTTACATAGTTGTAAACAAGGAGAGTTTCGAATCTGCAGTACCAAACTTAATACCTAAAAGGTATAAAATTTTCTTGAAGGGTTTTAGAGGCAAGGTTTGGAGACTAAATTCAGTAAAAAGCTTTTCTTCTTGAATTTCTCCTTATGTTACATAAATACGTATAAATATTCTTTAGAAAATCTCTACGGGCCCTTTAGTAGTCTTATGGGTACACTGCACACAAACGTGACCAATGAGTTACTAATATTTCATTGTTGGCGTCTGCAATTAAAGGAACATCTTCAAAATTGCAGTCCTGGCTATGGGCCTCAAAGAAATTGTACATGAATTCATCAGAATGGCGACGTTATCGGAGAAAACGAGAAGTAGCCAGAAGTTACAACCTTTTTCATTCATTAGATGATAAAAGAACATGTAAACTTACTATTTGGAACTAGTAGATGGTACTGTACGTGCATATGCTTTCATGGCAAATGCTACGCATTACTTGTCATATTGTAATTGTTACTCACAATTTGTTGCAATGAGGTGATATTGGCCAAGCTATGATAACTATGATTGTTTACGCGAATGATACACTATTTATTGTTAACGTTAACATTAGAGAGCAGAGGGAAAATCATTGCAATGTTATTATTTTATTCGATGCACTCTGTCGAAAACATAAATTAGCATTTTAGAAAACAAATCTTAAGCTCCAATAATCAGTAAACTAGCGAAAACCGAAGCCATATCCTATTTTCAAAACCAATCGAAATAGAATTAAATGTTGTTGCGTGCGTAGGGCCTCGCAATAGATTGAATGCATACAGGTCCTATGATTGAATGATACAATTTACTTTATCAAACGAAACACTTCAGTGTTCTGGAACTTTCCGCAGAAATAATCATACAACTTTTCACAATATCACAGAGTAAAATCAGTATTTACACTTCAAACTATTATGAACGTTAAACACAACGCAAAGCAAAGCGCAGCTAAGAGAAAGCTACTCGGAGATATATCAATATTCCGAACTCACTGAGCTAACAGTCAACAACAGCAACTGAGAACAGATGTTCTCACCAGCCTTATATAGTTTTCACCGGACTGTCGAGATATTCCTAGTAATTTCTGCCGCTCGAAATTACTGGAATGCAATATGAAGGTCGAATTACGATTACAGCTAATATACTGCCCAATTACATTTATTCAATTCCAAACCTATTACGCTGATACAGGAACCGGAACAAAATGTCGCCAAATGTAAGCAAAGTTTGGCGACGTTGGTGATTTCTGGCCAAATTTGGCGCCAAAGTTTCCGGATACCCCTTTACTCAATGTTAAATGGACTTGCCCTGTATTCTTACTTTTCCGGCATAATTTTTCTGTCTAATTTTTTTTTTTTTTTTATGTCACATTAAACAGAAAAATATAATTTCACGTATTATTGCACTAAAATCACCTATCTATGTACAAAATTCGTAGCACTGCCTCCCCCTCCAAAGGACTGCACATCCCGGGCAGTACAATCCCCGAACTGGAAACAGTACTTAGGGCTAAAGCAAATTAATATAATACTAAAACAAAAATTTCAGGAAATAACTAATAACTGACTGCATAAACTTACAAATTTAGACACAAATAGGATCATGGTCTTATACTATTTGCATTATATACACTACGTACTATGGCCATAGCAAGGGGCTAACCTGTCGTAAGAATTTGGACTTAGAATTCGGTGACTTTGACGTCGCTTAGCCTGTTTATGACTGTGTAACGAGAAGGAGCCGGAAATTACAACCTCTATCACTCAGTACGTCGTTTAGCCTGTTTACGACTGTGTAAGTGACTGCAGTTTAGGAGAGAATTCTTTCCATCGAATCCGATTCCACAACCACACCTTGTCACATTCGTTTGTTGAATCGATGTCCTATAACTCTTGTGCAATATCGGGTCATCATCTTCTCCGTAGCCACGCTGACTCGCTCTCGGGCAAAACTGTGCATTATAAGGCATTTCTCCCACCTTCTAATCATACCTTCGTGGTGTAATGGCCAGCACATTCGGCGCGTATACGAGAGGTCCATGGTTCGAGTGTCGACAAGGGCATTGCACATTTTCACATCTCCCGCTTAAAAAAATACTAATGTCTGTATGGTATCACTTCAAACCGTGCCTGAGGTCTTGAATGCGGATGCTCAGACGATGAAGGTGCATCCGGAGAGCGACCAAAGAAAATATCATAAAGCAGATGAAGATCATCACGGAATAGCATCTGGGATGGGAGTAGCCGGTAGTTTCGTGGACAACACAGTAACACAGAGGTAACTTCTTGTACCAGTAAAAACAGAGGTAACTTCTTGTACCAGTAAAAACAGAGGTAACTTCTTGTACCAGTTCTATTGAATTCTGAAAACCACCAGCGAGCTGCGATTAAGGATGGTTCAATTAAACCTATCTACCGTGCCGTCCAACTGTGGATGTAAAGGTGTTGTTTGGGTTTCATCGATGCCGAGTAGCTTACAGAGTTCTTTAATTACAGCCAATGCAAAATTTTTTCGTTTATCGGAATGTAACTGAAAAGGCACTCAGAGCCTGGAAATCCAATGCTGTGTCATTACCTCTGTTACCGTGACAACCTCTTGATCAGGAATAGAATAAGCTTCAGGCCACTTTGTGAAGTAATCAATGACAACCAGGATATATTTGCTGCTATCAGCAGTTCGACACAAGAAGTCAAAGGCGATGCGTTCAAAAGGCGCACCGACGTTATATCGTTGGAGCTTCCCTCGACTGCATTTCTTCTGTTCTTTCCGACCCACACAAGCATCGCAAGACGGCCACCACTTTTCGACGTCAGCACTTGCGTTACTCCAGTAAAAGTGCTCTCGAACTCTCTGCAGATTCTTGGATTTTTAATTTATTTATTTATGAAAATTATGATGATCACTCTCCTGATATTTACAATGTTTTCTATATTCAATTCACAACTTTTGGCTTTTCTTATCTTAGAAACAGTTCTAAGCAATTTGTTATACACGTACTGTATATCCCTTACAATTTCCCATAGGTTCCTTGGTGAGCCTGGATAGCATCTGTTCTTCACCGGGTCGTAAAAATTATGTTCGTTCTCCAGCAACGAAATTCCAACACCTCTTTACTTTCCACTTTTTCTTCCAACTCATTACTAGATTCTTTGCTATGATTACTCTGTTTCCATATTACTCACCAAACTTATTAAAGTATATTAATATAACAGTGGTGGCAGTTAAATGGCGATAACTTATTCCTTCGCCCCCCCCATGCAAAAGCGATAAGCAGTAAGAAATTTTCTATAACACCTTTGCTGTTTATTTTTATAAACATGATCGGTATACAGTTCTTGGAAGCAAATTAAATTTTCAAGTTCAGCATCTCTGTGTATGTTGTAAAACTTTGCATTATATGAACTAAATGCTCAAGAATACAGAAATTATCCATATAATTTAGCGTTACGTAAGTGAACATGCAGAGCTATAGCTTTGAAATACAGCCTTTTCGTTAGCTGCGATTGTAAAAATTAGGCTTAAGGAAATACACGCTGACATGAAGATAACAGGAGGTTCCAGAGATTTCCAATCAAATGACTAGAAAATGAAACCCCTAATGCCATTTATTGGGAAAACGTAATATTTTCGGTAAAAATAAATTCATAAACTCGCCATCGCGCGTAATTGCTCGGAAGAAAATCACACTTTCCAGTTCTCGGAAGCCAAAATTATTCAGAAAATGTCTTCAGTTGACAAACTAGATTTCTTGGAAGTTTTTCTAGATCCATAAAATAATTTCGTACTAGCTACTGATCCGAACTCCGAACTCTATTTCTCGTGAGCCGAAGAAAAGGAGAAAAGGATTCATCACTGCTTCTCTTTCCCTGCTTCACTAATAAAGACGCTGAGTATTACATTTCCTATCATTGCGTCAGAAAACAACGTAAATTTTCTGTGTTCTCACGTAAGCATATTTTTCTTTTTGTCGTTTTTCTTATTCGTAGTTGAAAAAGTTTTGATTCAGCTTTGAAACTGACTTTTTTTCCCCAATGGCCCCCATAGTTCGTCGTAAGTTTTAGTATCAGCGTAACTAACTACCTGCGGAAAGCGCGGAGGAGGACATCTGTCATATATTATTTTTAAGTATCAATAAGTGTATATGTAGAAGGAAATAAACAAAAATATTGATTTTTATGTAGCTTTGATTGATTTATTGCATTTAAAAAAACCTATCATTTTATAAAAGGAGCTATATTAACAGTTCTTTTGAATAAGTTGTTTCTTTCAGATGATAGTATGACAACACTTGGAATTGCATACTCCAGTTCAACAGTTCCCGGTTTTCCTGCTGAACTCGCCATAGATCGAGACAAAGAAACGTGCGCTTATTTAAAACCCAAGAAAATAAGATGGTGGCGATTAGATTTGGGACAAGAGCATAAAGTTTTGACTGTTGCTATTACTATGCTTTCATCAGGTAATGTGAAATAATTACTTTTGCCTTTTGCACAGATGATTACCAAACAATCGTCCTTATAAAGATTATTATTATTATAAATTGTCGGAAAGACACTTTACTCAATATTATTTATTACAGAAAACTGTTTTCCAACTTTAAAAACTCTTAAAGTTAAAATACTTCTTTTGAATTGACACTATTTTTTATAGAATACAAACATACAAGTAGTTATGATTAATGTGACCTTACTCAGAGCTATTCAGACTCTCTTCTGACGTATTTTCACTGAAATTTTGTATGCATGTTATATGTACAATGAGGAAAAGAAAACTGTATAAAACAATAAAGAAACTATAACAAGTAATAGTTCAAGTTTTGGCCTCCAGATGAAAAGGAAAAGCATAATGATCAAGAAATACAAATGGGAATCATAAAACACTATTAATCACAACTTTTGTTCAATGAGCATTCTATTAGCGTCAATCACACTCTCAATGTGAGTCATATCATGTTTAAACATTAGCACAAAAATATTTTTGAAATATTGCTGCAACACAGCATGCTACGCTTGTTTCCAATTCAGGCAAAGTCTGTATGCTTAATTTACATACAATGCCCTCAACCAGAAGTCATCGGGATTCATACTCGAAGAACAAAGAGTTCAGGCATTCGAAAATATTCTCGAAATTACCCGATAGTCTCCAAAGTGACCTAAAGCAGTTCCTACATTTGTAGACCAATATGAGGTTTTGCACCATCTTACACGTAGATATTCATTAAACATTCTCGATCTTGTAAGGCAAGAACGGTTTGCAGCTGCAGATGTTCGCAATAACGAACACTCTAGCGTTATACCTTTAAGGTTCTTGAAAAATACTCTTTTCGAAGAAAAAAGGGTCAAGAATGAAGTCAGTAGTAAAAACAATTCTATAGAGACATATATTTAGAATACAGAAGTTATTCAGTCTCTAGATTGGAATTTCTAGCACCTCATAAACGACAGTTCTGGGTACTTATTGCTCTGTCTGGGTAAAATGCTCTTTACCTGAATGCCAAATGTTTCAAGGCCATTTATTGTGAACGGCTGTTCTCCAGCAAAATCAGGCCGTTGATGCGGATATTGAAGAAGCAGCTTTTGGACCATGGGGATCTTGTATGAATACCATTTTAAAATGGATCACAAAACTTTCCTTACCGTAGATCAGAAGATAGACAAAACACGTGACACCACTCGAGCAGTTGTCGCAGAATTGAGAGAGTAGAATGCGCTGACAATTATAGCAATAGTAACTTCTTCCCCAGTTTCAATTGCAAACTGTCTTCGTCCTCTTTCTGACAGCACATTAACTGCCCATTCTCTACAAATTTAGTAATCATCTTGTACAAGCCAAAAGATATCTTCGATGCTGACGGAACCGGCTTATTTTATCAATGTTTATCGCAGAGAACACAAGCATTCAAAAAAGAGAAATGCTTTGAAGGCAAGCACAGCAAAGTCAGAGTTACTGTATTGCTATGTGCATTATGAAAGAAAATGAAATATTGAAACCTTTGCTTATAGAAGAGAGAATAAAAATCCAAGAAGTCTTATTAAATCACTAGTATTAAATTACTAGTATTAAATCACTGGAAGTAGATTATTATTTTGAAAAGATTTCGTGGATGGCCTTAGACATTTTTGGAAAGTGACTAAAATATTTAGGCAAATTCATAGCTGTACAGAAACGAAAAATTGCTCTAGTGATAGAAAGTGGCGGTGCTTACCCTCAAAATTCAAAGACAAGCATAAAAATGTTAAGATATTTCTCTTTCTTCCAAATACCACTGAGAAACTGTAACCTATGAATCAAGGTGTGATAAAAAGTGTTAAGACGCGTTATCGTAAAAGAACTTTGAAGGAATAAGGAGAATTGAAAGGAATCGGCCTTAATGTCTAATAAGTTTGCTTGATTTCTTATCTGAACTTGCAAAAGTATGAGATTATGATTGCTACTGAAAACACTGTTCGCAATGACTTAAAAAAAAACTGCTTTCGTTACCAAGATTCATACTGCTTATAATAGTAATGTTACTGACGACGATGAGCAAAACGAGGAACATATGTGGCATCAACTGAAAACAAAGACAGTTAAAGAATAATGAACAATTACGCAATTATTTATTTATAAAAAACGATATTGAAACCTCAGGAATTCCAGTTGAAAAGGTCATATTGAAGAGCATAAAAATAGCAGCTAGAAAGATGTTGATAACGAGGAAGAAGATGAAAATGCTAGTGAAAATGTATGTAAAAAATATTTGCCAAAAGAAATGTTAAATGCGTTTGATACTTATCGACTCGGTTTTCAGTTTGAAGAAAGTGTAACAGAAGAAGTTTTCTGTACGTTATAAACACATGAGACTTATTATGACATGGAATGTTTCCTGACAATCAAAATAAACTATAGTAACTGATTATTTTTCGATTTATGCAATTTTCATGCTTAACTTTGATGCACAAGTATATGTCATTTTGCATTTATATTTCATTTGACAACTATTTTACATTTAAAATTTAAAACATTTTTCATCTCAAATCATGTTTTATTATAACCTCCATTTTGTGAATTCCTCCATATACAGAAGTCTTTTTCAGATTCGTTAAATAGTTTGATTGCATTCGTGCAGTTCCAATAAAACAACTTGATTAACCAAGCTCCACTTTTCTTCTCTGTGAAGAATGATGCTACGTACTTTCGTACTTTCTACAGTACATGGAAAGAGTCATCTAGGGATCATAATTTGAACTATTATGCTTTATTACACTTTTTTCCTTCCCATGGTCCCTATAACGCATATACCAAATTTTAACAAAACACATCAATCAGAAGAGACCTACGGTCACTTTAATTATACGGATTGTAATTGAAGTAGTCACTTTAATTACAATTATCCTGCGCTCTGTTTGTAAATAATATTTTCATTAGATACTCTCTCACTCAGAATTTGCTTGGCATTTATTATTTTGTGGTTTTTAATTTTAATTTGACGCAACGCTCATATTTTCTTATTTTTTTTTTCAGACAAGAACGTAAATTTTCACGTTTATATTATTAAAACTGTAGAGACAAGTGCTTTATTTTCGAGTTGTGCATCCTTTAACGGGAAGTTTGGTAAGTCAGCATCATATAAATTAGTAAAACTTTAAAGAAATATTTGTTTGAGGCCTTCACGTTTATGATTATTTGACTTTTCGTGAATTTTCTTCGGTGCGTTGTAAATTAATTCAACTCATGTTTCCTTTAACTTACACTGTTTTCCATCTAAGTGTTCGCAAAATATTTCAGGAACACAAACAGTTATTTTGCCCTGTGCTAATGGCAAAGGTATTGAAGGCCAAAAAGTGCACATTGAAGTTAAGGGCGACTCAGAAGGATTGTTCGATATCTGCGAAGTTGAGGTTCAGGTCGAAAAAGGTAATTTTTTTTTTACTTATGTGTAAAAAATATTCATATTTAGATTTGGAAATATTGATTTTATTTAATTATTGCAAAGCAAGCGAGGGCTATCTACCTAAGGGGAGGGATAGCCTTCGTGGAGGATTTACTAAGGGAAACTGACTCCTATACGCGTTACACACAGTGTTCAGCGACTTTGCCGCTCGGCCGCTGATGGGCTAGAAGATATTGATAAACTTTATTCGCAAACACTTTCAGTCAGAGAAGAAAACTGAAAATACTTCGATAGCTTTCTATAACTTATTAACAACAATGTACAAAATCTATTTGTTTGATATTTTCCAGGAGCAAAATTTGGTTGGATGTATAAAACTAATTAAGATTTTAGAAAAAATAAATTTAATCAACATACAGAGCCTCGTATTTCTACGTAACGTAAACTCACGAGCTCTCAAAAGATTGTAGGAGGAATTATTCTCAGGTCTTGCACAACAGAAAAGTCAGAAGATTTCAAATGACCCTTTATTCAATCACATAGAGTTGAACAGGTGACACCACTTGGGCTTACATAAAACCAACATTTCTGGCTTAACTCAAAGGGTAATGTTGACCGAAAAATAAAATGTAATTAAATTAGCCCACCAGCTCACATGATAATTTAGGAAGGCTCTGACTAGTAGAAGCAGGCAGAGACAAGCTTGACGGCTAGAAACATCCAACGCCGCAGAATCAATTCGCTAGTAATTCAAAGTTCCAACTGGCCTTCAAACAGGCATAACAAGCTCTAAAATCCCCTACCACAAGCTTCACTTAAATAGCACTTCTTTCTACCTTAATTTGAATACGCGCATGCTATCTGATTAGCATTTTGGTAGGAAAGCGTGGGTGAAAATGAGAGTGAAAGGAAAGTTTTAACTAAAAATTAACTATTTTCAAAATAAATGAATCTCCACAAACAGGAATTTAGAAGGATTCAGAAAGTTTTCTCTAACAGACGTTTTTGCAAAAACATGAAGGGAAGGCATTTTTGTAAAGTTCTACCAGGTGTCACTTTCGTTATGTAAAATAACGTAATTTATCTACCCAGAGTAATAAAGGCACCGTCTTTTTATAGATTAAATCAATTAATTATTGTAGCGAAAATTACCCCATTCGACCGAGCTCCTCATAGCTTAGCGGAGAAGACGCAGGACTTGAAACCCATCAACGGCAAGATACCTGATAATTGTTTTTTTATGTAAATTTTCTTCTTGTTAATGTTATCTTATTTATGTAAATTTCCTCCTTATTCTTCCAGAACATTTCGAGTCTGGAATGTTCCAGCATGTTCACCAGCTGTATATAAGTAGTTCTTCATTCAGTTTCGAGTTAATAAAAAGTCTTGAGTTTAGGCTTGAGTACTTGCTTGTTCATTTGTACGATCCCTTTATCTACGCTACAATACCATATTTTAGGCATTCAAACGCCTGCGCTGAGGGCGGGGGAGAGATGCGAAAGTAGAAACTGCAGCTGCAACTGTCTACAGCACTTTAAATTAAAATGAAATATAACTTTGGTTTTAGAAGAGAGAAAAAAAGAAATACTCATTTCGAAAGAAGGCGTGTTTCTCTTATTCTAGAAGCAAAAATATTCTGCGCGATAGGTTAGAAGTACGTAACCCAAAAAGGCAAAATAAAACTGATAAGTTGAAAAAAAAAATAATAAATAAATGTAACTATCAAAGACCCAGATGATTACAAAATTAGTCATCCTAATCGGTACAGTGGTTAGCGGTGATAGCTAACGTATCGTACGGCCCAGTGTCCAATCCCGGATAAGGCTTGGGATGTTTGCAAGTGTGTAACGTCTGTGCGGTATGAGAGTACTTAATATGTCGAAGAGCCGATATTCCTCTCCAGGGGTTTAGTGGTAAGAAAAGAGGGGTGGAAGACTGTAGGATCTCCCCAGGGAAGACTCCTTCAAGACTGGTATGGAATTGGGTAAAGTCATACTGTCATCTATAAGGGAATCCATCTCCCCAGATGTTCTTTATCAAATGTGGTACGCACTCGGCAGACAGTTCGGTGGAACTATACCTATGCGACCAATGCTCAAATTCTGGTGTCCGGCTCATTTCTACTTGTACCTGTCGAAAAAATTCTAATAAAAAAAAATCAAAATTTTGAAATAAAAGTTTTAAAGCTTCGGTAAAAACAGGACTTGTATCAGAATCATTAACTGAACTTGGCAGGTTTTTAATATAGAAGGCGACATTTCTCTAGATCAAGAAGTCTTTTGGATAATTTTTCTTTTCTGCTGTAAGTCCTTTAATACCTTATTTTAGTCCTGGTTAGTTGGCAGATGTACGTCAAAACGTTTTAAAAACGATTACCATAAATTACCGAAGAGTTACGGTCTAAAATATCGTTTATAAGGACTGAACAATGAACTATATAAATAACAGAAGAAACTGGTAATTTGTTTAATTAATGAAAGTAAGAAAATAAATGCAAGATTATTGTTGTTGATTTTAGCAGATTTTTTTACAATATTAAGACCAAATTTTTTAAAGGCTTTTAGCAGTTAAAGAAGATGAGAAAACGTTTTCAATAACAACATCTCACAAACAATTCAGTTCCTGAGCGAAAGAAGACAGTGAAAGAAAAAGAAAAAAAACTTAATAGAAAAAAAATGCTTTGAGTGAAATTATTTTGGTCTGGATATTCATATCTCCAAAGAGGATTGGAGGATCGTTGTTAAGAATAAATCTTAAATCGTTGTTAAGAACAAATACATGCTCTAATGAAGTTACTAAACTATTAATCGACTGGCCGGTCAGTATAGCTCTAAAGCTTCTTAAACTCTTCTGACCACTCTTAAGTGAAATTTTACTTTCAATCTTCTTATATTTATTCAAATCATCCAAAACAATCGCTAATTCTACCTATTGAGCTTGACTTCATTTTCTTCCCAAACTTCACATCGAATTTAAAATGAGATCAAGGATTAAAGATTAGTTATTTTGGAGTACTTATAGTTTAGAACCATATACCTCCACATCGTAATTATCTAATAAGGAAGAAAAATTAGGAGAAAATACATGAAAGACGTAAAGGAATATATAAAGGAAGTAAACAAGACTTGAGAAAGTTTAAAGAGAGGACGGAAAATTTTTTAAATATGATTACACGTTTTAAGGTACTTTTGGTAAATTTTATACTTACAATTTTTTTATATTTTATATTTTTATTTATTTTTTTTTCTTTTATGATATTTTAAAACAAAACAAATTTTAAAAAGATAAAAGCGAACAGAAAATTGATCAAGGTTAGAAGGCTCTTGGGTCACATGATTGTTAAATCAGCATATAGCAATACTGAATTTGAAACGCAAGGAATTTTTTAAAGGAGATATACCTCATACCCATTAGTTAAATATGTAGTTAGACATCAGATTTACTTTAGCCTTGCAAGTCGTAACGGATCTTTGAATTATATTTTATATTTATTTTGTACTATAAAGCATGCATATATTAATAAAATTCTACGTAATTTTATTTTAAATTTGAGTGTTTATTTTCATCTATAGTAATAATCATGGGGGAGGAAGAAACTTCCCCGAATACTCAGTTTCTAACCGTTATTAAAGGTAAAGGGACAGAATTTTCAAGCTAGGATTTTAGAAGATACTATGTATTGTTTGTTCAATCTATGATAAGAAATTAAGACATATTAAAAAATTGCGTCATTCAAGTTTAGTGATAGATTTGGTTTTAAATATTTCACGTTGGAAATAAACTGATTTGCATAACTAAGTTAAATTTATAGATGTTGTCTTGTAGAGTCATTAGGTTATTTTAAAACAGGAGACATGAAAAACGAGCAATGCCTTCACCGGGACTCGAACCTGGACCTCCCGAATACGCGCTAAGTGTGCTATCGTTACAGCACGAAAGCGCTCAGAAAAGAGGGAGAAAATACCTTACCTTATCCTGGTTATGGAGAATCATCATCCACCACCTTTTAGTTCGGGCGTCACTGTAGAGTCATTAGGATTTTTTATGTAGGAGACGTGAAAAATGAGGGAATGAACCTGGATCTCTCGAATACACGCCAGGTGTGCTACCGTTACACCATGAAGGCATGCAGAAAGAAGGGAGAAAATACCTTATATATTCGTCCTTTTAAAGGGCGACTGGGCATTAGGGGACCCGATAGCCAAATCCTGGGGGTGAAGAATCATCATCCAACACCTTTTAGTTCGGGCGTCACAGCAGAATCATTAGGATTTTTGATGTAGGAGACGTGAAAAATGAGCATTGCAGTCGCCAGGACTCGAACTTGGACCTCTCGGATACGCGTCGAGTGTGCTACCGTTACACCAAGAAGGCATGCAGAAAGGAGGGAGAAAATAAGTTATAATCTTAACCTGGAAATAAAATTATAACATTTTTTTTTACTCTAAGATGGTCAACAAAGAAACAATTTTCAAAAAGAAAAATTTTGTTAATTTTTTTCTCAGTCAAAATACAAATCTCATTTTGACAGCTAGCATATTATTTGTCGAATCAGTGAGGTAATCTCTTTTAATTTCTCCACAACTATGAAGGATTGAGGGGATTCTTAAAACTTTATACTTAGATAAAAGAATTATATATATGGTAATTAAGGTAATATATTAGGTAAACATTGTTAATATTAAATTTGTAAAGTATACATTTAGTTTTACTAACCATTTATGTTATCTTAATTACCTTTACTATTTTTCTCTCTTTCCATTTGCCTGCCAAAATGCTAATTTCTTGATCGCGCGTATTCAAATGAGGTAGAAAGAGAGAGTATTTAAAGGAGGGCTTCAGATGGTAGAATCAGAGTGTCTTCCGCCTGCTGAAGGCCACATTTGCTACTTGATTCTCTTGAAAGCTGGTTTTCTGCGGCATTCCGTTATTCTCGCAATTAAGCTTGATACGCCTACTTGCGCATATTTTGTCTGTGTAGCCTTTTGGTCTACATACGATTAACTTAGTCTAATCTAAATTCTCTTACATTTTGAGTTAAATCATAAATGCTGGCTGGTTGTACAAGCTCGAGCAATGCCTTCTGTTAAACTTTTATCTGAATTAAATAAAAGGGTCTTTTACACCTTTCCCATGTTTCTGTAGCTATTTCAAAGGCATAGCGATGAGTTAAGTCTTAGGCAGAGTTCTCATAGTTTATGTTACCCAATCCTGTAAAACTATAAAATTTTTAGCTTTGAAGTCGACGAGAATATATCAATTATAAAGTACAAGATTTCTTTTAAATTTTTAGCTGTTACAGAGTTGCAAAGAATGCAGTTTTTAAACAATAGTTAGAAAATGAAAAGTCAGTTAAATACGCGAAAATTACATGCTAGCTGTAACGTGTTTTGCGCTGCAGTCTTGGATAAAAGTTTCTTTAATTTGGCCAGAAAAACAGCAATGAAAGGAAATTCTATTTCTATTCTATTATTATTTTTTATAATATTTGTTTTGTGATTTAAATTAATACCGAAACAGGGAAATATAATCGATGCATGAGTATTGATGATAACATTCATGAATATTATTGTTTTTATAACGTTTTCCCATACCTCTCATATTTTAGATACGGGCTATGACTGCGGGAGGCCAAGTCGCAATTTCTATTCTGTAGTTTACGAACACAGAAATGATAAAGTCAGTTATGGATGTATTAAAGGATATCAGCTCGTAGGCCAAGAGTATAGATCTTGTCTAAGCTCAGGCCAGTGGTCTGGGAGGCCCCCTGCGTGTAAACGTATGTATTCACGTTACAGTTAATTTTTTTCTTCCTTCTTACTGTTACGGTTTTTATATTGATTTAGCTATTTTTAAATAGAATTAATTAAAACTGTTTTATATTACCGTGCAATGTAGCACGAGACTTATTTGAAGAGAAAGCTACGCCGGAAAAATTAAAAATACAGGAGCACGCGCATTTAATAAATAGATGTCTCGTAATTGTACGCTTTTGGTTTCCGGAAAAATCGAGAAAATACTAGAATATTCTCGTACTGATTAAAAAGCTTATAAAAGCGGGAGGAAAGCATCTCAATTCAGTTGTTTACTTATCGCTGTTAATGATTGTAGCGAATTCGAGGTGAAATCGGATTAGCTTTCTCTGTTTTGAATTAAGTTGTTAAACGTGTTAGTAGTTTAAAATATAACTACTGTCAGATATTGCAATATTGTACGAATATCTAAGGAAATTTAAACATTTTGTTTTATTTGTTGTGATAATAATAAATTTTATTCACTTTTCATCGGACTTCTGCATTCAATTTTTTACGAGCCCGTATGCACGCAATTGACGTTACTTTCATAGTTTATTCCTAAATCCCATTTAACTAATTTTATATAATATTTAACAAATAGGCCTCTTTGGTTTCTAAAACTTTTCATAAAAATGTAAGAAATTTCAATTAATTTAGTTTTTGTATATGAATATATTGGGCTTGGCGTAGATTTAGTCAAGAACTCAGTCTATTACGAGGGCAAACAGGTACAAGTAGCTTTTCATCAGAAGCAAAGAAATCTGCAAGACTAGAAAGCAACGATCGCAAATGGTCGTATTTATATCCTACACAGCAGTAAAGCGAAAGAGAAAGTACTAAGAAGGTACCAAGAGGAGAAAGAGAATGTAAGGTTTCTTGACTAAATCTACGCCCAACATAAGGTTGCTGTTTTGTTACTTTTATGTTTCACTTTGGCTTGTTTCTCTTCTGTTTTGATTTTAAGCATTTTTATGCTTTCATTGATTTTGCAGATCAAATGTATTAGGGATAAAAATTTCTCAAATTTCAGTCTAAATTCTAATATTATGTTTTGGAGAAATAAATTCATTCTAAATATCTGAATGTAGAGCTTGTCTTAAAAAGTTTCAGTACCTTTCTATACCACATTGTAAAGATAACATTTATCTTGAGATAACAGATTAGTAGACTTACAAACTTTGAACCATATGTGTATCATTTACTGATATGGAGAAGCCATTGTGAATTTGATGTCAAACAGCACCCTCATGTAACAGAGATACATTTTTAAGAGCGGAACATGGCATTACCTATATACATTTAACATAAACAGATGAGAATTTCAAGAATTTCGCACTCAGTTTAGGTGCGTACCAAAAACAGATATATATTTAAAAGAAACTACACTGCACTTCACATAAGTATATAACACAAAACAGGTAATTATTTCAAGGCTGCACATGTGGGGACTAAAAAAAAATATATGTATCCAGAATATGGCGTATCATATAGATATTTATCAAAAAAATAAGGTAAGTGATTTAAGAATATGGATTGAAACGATGTCGCTAAACTAAGTACATGCTCTTTTTCTCAAAACAATGTTATCTAAAAATTAAAATTTAAAGTAACTTACAATATTTCCTCTTAATTTTTTATCTTACTTCTGCAGCAATCATCTGCGAAGAACTAGAGGAACTAGAGCACGGTCGTATTGAGATAACGGACAGCCAGACGGAGACAAAAGACATTTCTTCAGGGAGTGTATTATTAGAGGGAGACATAATCTCTTATGTGTGTGATGAAGGTTACAGGTTAGACGGATTACATGCACGACAATGTCTGAAAGATGGAACATGGAGTGGGAGAACTCCAAAATGCCTTGGTAAGAAAGAATTTTTGAATGAACTTATGCCGCTCCACCCTACCTTAACTATCAACGCCTTGAACCGTAAAGGTACTCAAACGTCTTATCGTTCCTCCCTAACTTCTAAAGTAGAGAAAAACTCAGATGAAGGTTTAAAATAAATGTCTTAATTTGCTGTTCAGACGGTTACACGATATATCCAAGAACATAAAAGCCAAAACCGTTACTTTTGGAAACAAATATTCCTGTCAAATTAAATTAAATGCAAGGTTACACACTCCTACTAAGTTTGGGGCTTTAGCCTTTGACGAAGCCTCATTCGCTCCCTCAGTCTTTGACAAAGCAATTATTGCTAGAAAGGCTAAAGGCCATTTACGTCATTTAGAAGCAAGGAGAAATAATCCGATCACGGATGGTTGCCAAGGACTCTCTTCTTGAACTCAAGAACACTGCGTTTGTATACATTAACTAGATTGCATCCTAATAGGAGCAGACAGAAGTGGAAATGAATGTACATACGAAACAAAACAAAAAAAGGTTAATGAACATAAAACCTTACAGTTACTCTCACTGGATTTCTAATAATTCGAAAAAAATTTGTGATGATCTTGATAGAGAATTTTAAATTGTAAAACGTATTAAGAGCCAAAGCTTTCACAAACTAATAGGATATATGCCAAAATTCACAGAATAGAACTGCAATCTATGGTATCTGAAGTCTTCTCTCTACCTGTCCTGGGAGAAAAATATTTCAGTACTGATTTCAAAACATATTCTTCACACTCTTAGTCTATGCATAACCAACGGTAATTTCATAAAAATTTGCTTCAATACGTTTATTACTTCCAGGTCTCGAGTTTAATGTACGTGTGAACAGCCGTCTGTGTTATGTAAAGCCAACTTCTACCTCCTAGTGCAAATCCTACCTTGGTTAATTTACTTAATACAATTTACTTTGAAAATGCACTATTTCATAATGTAGACTAATGCCTCCCTTTATTTAATTTGATATCAGAAACAAAATATTTCTGGAAAACCTTCCTCTAAAATTGCTAACATATTTCATTTATACTAACTCTTTCATGACATTTAATAAATTTCTAGCGCACTTCATTTTCACCAACTCTTTCATTACATTTATGCTATTTTTCAAATGTAATGAAAAGTACAGTAAGTTGCTATTATTCCCAATCTCGCTAAGAAGGTAAAACCTTTATATGGTCCGGATTATCAGGGGATCCGCAAATTTAAATCAAAATTCAAAAACAAATTTTACGTACCGTGTGTACAATATAGTTGTAGAGTTCCTCACTCTTATTCTACTAAAGTAAATGTCGATAAACCTATTGAACTGTTAGTTCAAATAACAGGAATCGTAAACTCAAGAAGAGTTAACTACCCTTATTTCATTCAAAATAAGATGAAAAGTCGGTCCCTTTTTATGGGCTTACATTAAGGCAACCACTTGGGCTTAAACTCAAAAATAAGAAATAAGAACTAGCTATAACTAACTAAGATACTTAGTCGAAGCTAACACAAATCTAACATAGTTGGCCCTTAATTTAGAACTAGAAGGCGACTATCAAAAGGCACGTAATATACGGCCAAGCGTAACAGCTTCTAACAAGACTTAGCCCGAAGGCAAACACGCGGTACTCAGGATTCCTAGCTCTTTCTCTCTCGAAGTAAGTTAAACCTTTCTTAAGTACCACATCTTATTCATTTGCATTCAACGCGATTCTTAAAAACTCCTTCTGGTAGGGAGTCGTAAGTTGAAAAAAAGAACGATTGGAAAGCACAAATAAATTAAAATAACTGTTATGAAATTGGAATATACCTTACATAGTAAATAACTAAAACAATTAAATAAAATGTTTTTTTTATTTCTACTCTTGATGTTATCTAAAATAACTCTACACCATTTTTATTGATAATAATTCTAAGTACACAGTTGGCCATTAAAATTGGTACACCAGGAAGGCGGCGTGCAAAAAACGCCAAATTTGCATGAAAGATACTACACGCTGGGATGCATTCTAGCGCATACGCACAAGGCAGGTATGAGTAATTTCTTATACATTATGTAGCAAAGGGAAGATTTCACAGATGGGTTTTCTCATTTGGAAATCTCATTCGAACGATGTTTGTTTGTATGAAAGTAAATAGTAATGTTATGCCTCATGTAAGAAGGAGAATCTCCTACCAGCACTTCTCAGAATTCGACCACGTCAGGATCGTGACCTGTCGGGACTTCTGTTCATTGTTTCGCGACATTGCTGCTTGTGTTAATCGGATTCTATGACTGTCAGGCAAATTTGGAATCGATGGATCCAGAATTCCATACTGAACGTCATGCACGATCTCAGCGTCTTCGGTTCGCTAACGCCCGAATGAACAGACATTCTGCTTTGGTCTTCTTGGCTTTGTGGAATAGCACAGCCACGTCACGTACCCTGAGACAGGAACCTGGTTGCGCACAGCATCATGGTGGACATATCCGCAGTTGGAAGCACCGAAGAGAGCAAACGTTGTAAATGTGCATTCGTCATCATCATACGAAGCAAGCAACTGACCCGCTGATATGGAGTGCGTTTGGGTACACCTCCCGATTAGGTTTTATAGCCGGTAATATGGACAACCGTAGTTACACTTCTGATGTGTTAAAGCCCATGGTTGTGCCTTTTCGAGGCTAGTATGACGGTATCTTTCAACAAAATTATGCACGACTGCACGTTGCCCGTGTGGTCTTGACCTTCCTCGATACAGAAGATGTTCGACTGTTGCTTTGGCCAGCACGTTCTCTAAATTTCTCACCCACTGAGAACATCTGGTCATCATTTCCGAGAGACTGGCAAGCGCCTAGGATTGATTAAGTCTGGAATAGAGTTGAAGCCATATGCCATGAAGATCCATATGCATACTAGGTTTTTATCTGAGCTAACGAAAACATCCGGCACAGCCAACCCTGCTCTACTGTGTAAAAATAAGCACTCTTTCTTCAGTTGAAAAGTCTGAACTACACGTTTAGCGGAGTTAACCGAACGACTCCGTTAGCTCATATAAATCCCAGTGTGAACGCCTCTTGCTTGTCATCCAAGGTTAGTTCGAATCGATGTCAATCCTGATTATACTCATTGTTACTGCCGGAGGTGGTAGTTCCTGAATTTTGCACGCTTTGTACCCCAAATCACATGCAAATTTAATTATGTCTTCCATTCATAATACTGTATATGTGCATTAAATAAGATTCTACAATTTGCTTTCCTACCTAATGTAGCAATTTGAATGGCCAGCTGCGTAATTACTTATTTTAGTCGGTTTTTATTAGTAGGATCCTTCTTAATCTGATGTAAACAAAGCAGGTGAGGAAACAATCAGAGAGAATCATTCTTCTGTCTGTCTGCCCAAGAGTCCATTTCTTATGTTTTTATTCATAAAACGTAAAAATGCGTTTATTTCTTGGGATGTCTAGTATTATCTTATAAGGTATTTCTCCCCCCTTCTTAGCATGCCTTCGTAGTGTAGCGGTCAGCACGCTGGGCGCGTATTCCAGAGGTCCGTGGTTGGATTCTCGGCGAGGACATTGCTCATTTTTCCCTTCTTCTGCTTCCAAAAAGTACCTAATGTCTCTATAATCTTTTATCTAACTCAGAGGGCCAATCGCTCCGTTTTCTCCATAGTTCTACTTGTTAATTTATAATTCAGAGTTAGTTATGACTGATAACTAAACTGACTCGATACTGAAAACTAAACAGCCAGTAAGGAAAACATGATACTTGATTAAAATTTCATTAAAATTATCCTGAAATTTCTAACAAAACCAGAAAGATTTAACGCCCTTCCACTATTTTATTTGAGCGAAAAATTATTTTCAACCTTTATAGTAATAAAAAACAAAATTCAGAAATATATTGAATACCGAAAGTAAAATGCACTTCTAGACAACGCCAATAGAACCAGATTTCGATTTTTTGTGTAATTTATTACAAGCGCATTCAACTATTCAATTTACACTATATGATAGTTAAAAAGAAATTCATACTTATGAAATTTGTGTTTAAATTTATTCAATAAAAATTATGATGAAATAATGATTCTCTTTTCACGTGAAGTTAACCCAATATTGGTCCACCAGCGGCCGAGCCGTAAAATCGCTGAATACTGGCAGTTTGACCTGGGTTCGATTTCAGACGAACGGGCTGTTTGCATGAGCGTTTTCGTGAGCGTCAAGAAAATATTTAAACAACTTATTATTTATTTAATACCGAAAACTATTAAATTTACAGTAATAATGTTGTATTCCAACAGAAAGTTTTCATGTAATAATTTCCAGTTATGACACGCTTGATGCTTATGTGTATAAATTCAAATTACGATTTTGCTTTCATTTAAGCAAAAATCTAAATTTATTTTACAGAAAATATATCGATATTAACAATCCTATGTATTTTAGCTTAAGCTAATATGTGTAAAAAGTTAATTAAGATAACTTAAAGCAGCATTTTCTGGGAAAAGTACAAATGGAGTATTGTGGCACTGTTGATGAACGAAATATTTAATGTCCTACTAAATAATAATATACATTAAGAAAAACACAAAAATCTTTTAACTAGTTTCTTTCTTTCCTTAGAGATCCGATGTCCACTTCCAGACGAGAAATCTCTTGGTGGTACTTACAGGTTACTCAATCAGTCAAACACCATGGGAAGCATGGGTGTATTGAAATGCAGAAAATATTACAAATTGGTCGGAAAAAATCCTTACATTATATGCACAGAAGACGGCGAATGGACCAAATCTGATGCTCGATGTGAAGCGCGTAAGTAATAGCGCTGAAATATGAATTATCTTGTCTCATATATTATCATCACATTACAACTAAATGAGGTTAGATACTTCTTTAACGAGTTTTTAGTTCAAGAAATATAACATACATCCCTTATCAATATTACTTAAAAAAGAGTCGTCTTCCTATATATATTTAAAAATGTTTAAAATGCAAAAAGGATATAAAAAGGGGGATTTGTTTTAAACAGTAAGCAGATTCTTTCATTTTTTATCTTGTAAACACATTATTAATATATTTAGACTTCAGAAACATTTATGCCTAGTTATATTTTTCATTTTTTACGGGTGTTACGTTTTATTATGTTCGGTATATTATGCTATCAAGACATTAATAATTCACGCTGTCTGTCAGGCTTTGTCACTTCTTATATTTCATTTAATGATGAATTTTCACATTTCATGAAATTATAGTACGAGATAATATTTGATTAAATAATGTACACAAATATATTTATACATAATCTTTACAATAGGTTATTAAATAACATCCAAAAGCATAGAAAAATACAGCCATATGCTAATGTAGCTTAGTTTCTTTCAGCTCCCGGAGCACAGCACAGAAATTTATCACTAGAAGAAAAGGAACAACCAATAATACAACATCGAGGAGGTAAGAATCTGAGAGCAAGTAAGTCTGTTAGTAATGATTTGAATGAGCTGTACGTAATATAACCTCCCACCATTTGATGCATTCATAATACATTTTTAGGATTTCCTGCTCAATAATTTTAATATCATTTATTCAGAGTAATAGAAAATTTAAGTAACGAAAATATTTTATGAAATCAACAGAAAAGGACTATTCAGCATTTTATTCATTGTAACGTTTTCCAAGCAAGACAACTAAGTTATCACTTCTAATCTTATAAATATATTAGGTTGCCAGATAAGTTCGTTCGTTTCATCCCCCCCCAATTATTTTAATCGTAATTTTTCTCACAACTTTTAAAGAATCAGTTTATAAGCTTTCCTTTCGCTGTTTCTTACCAACCTTCTACTAGCATGTCATTTTCTCGAAAATAAAAATCACCGGTTCTTGAATTGAAGAATATGTCTAGTCATAATTTCAGCTCCATATCATTACTGAAAGTAATGTCTTGCAGATGGTCTGCTAACAATTGCAAAAGTGATAATCTGACGCCGCTAGATTGACAGAATGTAGGACTTCTAAAGTGAGCAACGAAATAGCGGTTATGGTCAGACAAGTTACGCGAGGGCGAACGTTATTGTATTGAAGTAGCACACCGTGACGTCGATCGCGTTACTGCTACTTGATTTCTTCGTTTAGCCATTGCATTTGCTGATTGTAAAGCTTTGCTTTAACCGTTTCATTTTTTCAAACATTTCTTAATGCACACCTTTCTAAACCTGTCTAGTCCCAACAAATGCATAGCATCCTCTTGTGTGGAAAAGCTTTATATTCCTAGAGGTGCTCTTTGCTTATTAGGATTCAACTACTTTGCTTCATATTCTTTGCTTTATAATACCAGTTTTCATCGCCGATGATGATGCGGTGAAAAGATTTCTGCTTGTGTTGAGCGAGCGAACTTTGGCAAGAGTGGAGCTCTGAAATTGGTTTCTTTCGCTTCGAGTTTTCTGCTTGTGTTGAGCGAGCGAACTTTGGCGAGAGTGGAGGTCTGGAATTGGTTTCTTTCGCTCCGAGTTTATAGTACCTATGCAACTGAGTTTTGGGGCTTTGCCCATTGAGTGAAGGTGATAGAAGACGGTGCCTCGAGAAAATCACATCTCAGGTGACAGTTCCATAACTGATTGACTCAAATGCTTTTGGATAAATCTGTGAGATCGGATTTTCCCTCTTTGAAGCAAGAAAACAATTTCTGTGTTGTTCTTTCATATAAAGCCTTTCCCATACAGAGCACAATTGTCTTGACAGCTTTGGTTGATTTGGAGCTTTGACCGAAGATGAAGATAAGCAGATGTCGAAAATGCTTATTTTTAACGACATGGCATTTCATTTTCACATCATTAAAAAAAATTGATCAAATTTCAAAAACGAACAATAAAAGTTTTAGAATAAGAATACAGTTATAGAAAATCATATAACATTTCTATAAACTACTTTTCATTTTAATATAAATATTGATAGGAGAAACACTGAACGAAGCCATCCAACAACTCTATAATTTAACGCATCCTTAATTTTTGCTATAACTCATATGATTCAAATAATGCTATTTATTATTGTATATATTTATTATAATAAGTAACTGACATTATTCATTGATAACGGTCGATCTTACTTTTTTGTGATTCAAATAACTCCATTTTGAACATCTGTTTCTAATACGTTTCCTTATCTAGGTTTATTATTTATTATATGCATGTTTATCTTTAACAACATTTGTGATATGTTCGGACAAAAACCATGCTAATAGTAGCGTATATTTTTCAGCTTTAATCTTTGGAATGATTATCGCAGGAATAATGATTGTTGTCGTCCTAGTTGCACTCTATCTCTACACGCAAAAGAGGTAAAATAAGTGGATTTAATTTTTTATTCAGAATTTATTTTTTTAACTTTCTTACGTAATTAAATAATAGCGAGTCATTAAAAATAATTGATTTTATTGTGTGCCTAACGAAATATTTGTAATTCCATTTTTGATTGTTGCATTTGGTTTAACTCCGATTCTCTTTAAAGAAAGCAACCTTTGTGGGGTAATTGTTATAGTAATACACATGAAAATTTTAGCTAGTATCAATGTTTTCGAAGCATTTGTTTAAAATTTCATATGTGAAGCAAAATTTAATATATTTTTTGCAAACATATATAAGAGTTAGGAGCCGGCTGACGGAGTGAATTCCTGTGACATATACTATGCTCTGCAAATTTTTATTTGATATTCGGTATAATTATCATAAATAGGATGCTTAAGGGCCAATCGTATATTACCAGATAAATATGCTTACTTGAAAATTGCTTTTATATTTTTCATGAACATGGCAAGGGGGGAATTAAAGTTTACAATAAAACGTAGACTTCATTTTATAAAAACATTTTCTTGAAATTAATTTTTGTCAAAAGTATTAGACCACATTATTGTAAAGACCAAAATACTAGACCACCAGCAATTAATAACAAATTTCGAATAGTATTTTTCGCTGGTAATAAAGGATATGAACTCATCGATTCTAGCTGATCAGTTGATGCTCACTGACGGTCATGCGCATGCGCATGTCTTCGCAAGACATTTAAGTTAATTTGGTAGTATGAGGATTCCAAATCTTTTATTATGGATGGAAAGTGAGCTATTGATAATCATTGCTTCTACGAACATAATGGTCATTTAAAGGAGTTCATGTGCAATATATCGCACTGAAAGTTTAGTTTATTTAAATTACGATAAAGTACGCGAGATATCTTCGTGGAAGACTTTCTTAAGAAAAATATCTCATATTCATGTCATGCATGGTGGAAACTATGAAAATATCCATGTAGCTAGTAAATATCCATGTACCCTTTCGATGCGATTTGAACTCACCGATCAGCTGTCTCACTGCGGCTTACCTGATCACAACAAAGCTTATGAAGCCTTCGTGGAGATTTCTCTAAGAAAAAGGTATTCTTATTTATGGTATACATTGGGAAATCCACATAATGAAGCAATTAACTTTAGAGTGTATTGATAATGATGGGAGACTTGGAAACACTATTATTAACATGACTGAAAAAAAGGATTTAAAAAACACTTAACGATGGAACTTCAGATAAAAATATATCAACTTATGCAATAGTAATCTTCTACGCACCTTTGAATATTTTTCGGCTTTTGGTGTGTTCTGAATATTTTTTTATTTTGAGAGTACACACAGTCTGATATTCATTAGCTACATTTCAAAAACTATTCAGCTACATTTCAAAAACTGAATAAAAGAAGCTCAATTTAAATCGTATTGAAGAACCGAGAACTCTAGTGCCGCTACAGATTTTAAGGAATCCTTCTCATAACAGAAAAAAGCAATGCAACCAAGAGTTTTAGGAATTACTTTTGATGCTTTGTAATTTTTCAGTTTTACGTCAAAATACAGTGATTTTTCTCCACCAGGACTATCTTTGACATTTTATTTTGACATATTGGTCCACTGTGCCTTGACCGTTTTTAAATATGTAATATTGAGATCACTGTACCACTGTGTTTTAAAATATGTAATATTGAGATCAGAGGTATTCTTTTCTAATAGCATTTTTAAGACCTCACTGAGTGGAAATTTTCTTTCATTTAGTTCCGTTTTTCAGATACATCCACATAAAACAATAGCATTGTTGGAACATCAAGATTGTCTGACGTTCACTGGTAACGGTGCTTTATGAACTGAATCTCTGCGTTTAAATTTTGTACAGATTACACTCTAAACTGATTTTAGCATACGGCTGAACAAAATATAAAGTTTGGTTAATTCATTTGTAGAAATAACTGTCATAATTCTTTAGGATGAGCAATCGAAGTTAATGGAATTAAATCAAATCTTTTTGGACCACGGCTGATGTATTGAAAATTTTGATTTGGGGTCTCGAAACTGAAGTCTGAGCCCAAGCCTTATTTTTATTTTATTTATTTATTTATTATTTTATTTCATTTTACTTATTTTGTTTATGTTACATATTTGTTTCACAGAAGCTTGTAGAGAAGCATGAATGCCTTTTTATGGCTTCGAATTTTTATTTCCACTGATCTAACTCAAAGATAATTCAGTTTAAATGGCAGACTGTGGAGACCATTAGGCATTTTCTTTCGAAGCAGATGTGCAATGCCCTCTCTGGAACTCGAACTACGGACATTACGATGCTAGCTGGACGTGCTTTCCAACTACACCATGAAGATACGCGGTAGGGAGGCGTCAATTATGACAGTTCATCTAAAAATTTTGAAGTCCTCCTTGACACAAGGTAAAAATTCCAATGCCAAATCAAGCAAAAGAATTAAATTAGACCGTTTTTTGACTATTCTAATCAAATACTTCAGAATAATTCATCGACTAGTTTTGAATACAGAAACGCAGTAGTTTTCAAGCTGAAGGGGACAGTAATTGAGTGTGATGTATTCTCTTCTTGTGTTATGTATAATGTTATATCAGATTTGATTGAATTCCTCTTCTTTTATATTTTTTCTGGTTTGGGCATTTTTTTCAGCCTTTTTAATTTTTAGGTTTTAGTTTCCCATTTCTTTAATTCTTATTTTGCATATTTTTAGGATATTTTGAAATTTATTGGTTTTGAATTTCACTTTTTGGGGTCTTTAAGTAAAACTGGTTGTAAATTTCTTTCGTCTATACTAATCAATTTTCAGCAGTATATTGCGCGGCAATATTTGGAATAATTATGTTTTTAAATAAAATATTTTGTGGTACTTTCTCTCTGTCTCTCTCTCTATATATATGTATGTACGTATGTATCGATAATATTTCCAATATTTTAATTTAACGTTGCATAATTACATGCACATGTATCTGCATATAAACACGCAACACATTTTTCCACATATGTATGAATATGTAAGATATAAATATAAAAAACAATTACTATCAAATTAATAACTTAATTTAGCAGTAGCCCTTTTAATTCCTGATTTAATTTAGATCCTCTTCGAAAAATCTGTACTGCACCATTTATGTCATTAAATCCTTCTTATTGAGTAAGTTATCTATGATACCCTGCTGGCCATTAAAATTGCAACACCACGAAGGAAAGCAAATGCAAAGAAAGGTATTTATTGTACTTAAAAAAAACAATATGGCATGAAGACAAAATGATTAAATTTGTAAGAAGTTTAGGTCTTTATAGGCGCGCGAAATTTGTAGAAACAGCTGCCACCCCTGGCAGCTAAAACGGCCCTCACCCGGTTAGGCACGATGTCGAACTGAGCTTGGATGACAGAAACGGGCAAATCATTCCATGCTGATTCAAGTCTATGCCACATATTATCAACGTATTAGCTGTAGAGGGGTGACGGGCCAGTCTCTCAGCAATCCATGACCAAATGTTTTCAATGGGTGACAGATCTGGAGACCGTGCAGGCCAGGGCAGTAATCGAATATCCTTGGTATCGAGGAAGACTAGAACACGACGTGCAACATGTGGTCTTGTATTATCTTGTTGGAAGATGGCGTTTGGCAGGCCTCGAAAATAGGCGATGTCAGAAATGTTCTCGATGTCAGAAATGTAAGGATCTGCGTTCAAATTACCGTCGATTTGAACTAGAGATGTGCGTGTCATGTACCCAATGGCTGCCAAAACTATCACACCAGGTGCAGAGCCCCTATGTCGTACCGAATGCAAGCAAGCGACGTGCGGTCTCCACGGAGCCTCCAGACCGTAAACGGACATCAGAATATTGTACGCAAAATCGGCACTCGTCTGAAAAGACGACATTGTGCCACTCGTGTATCCAGCTTTGTTGTTCGGCGCACTAGAGTCGCCGGCTGCATTGTCAAGGAAAGCCGAAGTTGTGAACATCCTGCTGATAGGCCACGCTACTGTAAACGTCGACGCACCGTACGAGCGGATTATGGGCTTGCTTCAAACATGCCCATTTCCTAACTAATGTCTTTGATATGGTTGTACAGTTTTGCAGGACTGACCTCACAATATGTCTGTCCTCTCGGGCGTTAGTCATGGGAGGGCGTTGAGATCCTGGATGCGGTTCAGTATCACCCTCAGCAACCCATTAATTTCATATTCGCGTGACAGTAGTTGGGTGTCGACCAGTGTGACGGGCGATATCACGGAATGATAATCCACACTCTTTATAGGCAACGATGCTGCTTCTATCGAATTCCGGCATTTGCTGGTAAGCATTTCTTCTTATTATTCGAAGCATAACATAATATTCTGAGCAAACGCTGACCTTACAAAGCGCTTTCCGAATGAGAAATCCACTGTATAACTTTTCTTTTGTGCAGTGCTTCAGATGCCATTTCTTCCTTCTGCGTCATCTAAATGCGCTGAAGTACTAATCATCTGCATATCCCAATATATGTTCTTCCTTTCATGTGATTTTGACGTTCTTAAGCTCATTCCTTCCTGGTGCTGCATCTTTAATGGCCAGCAGTGTACAAATGCTCATCGAGAAAAGCAACTCAAATTTCTCGCAACCACACTTGAAGTACATTTTTCAATCTCACACCAGTGATAGAGGAAGGTAACTTAATTTACTCGATGACATATTTGATGCATTCGGTGACGCTAACTTTAAGGCCGATGAACACGAAAGCAATGGCAAAAATATGTCGAATTGCAATTTCGTACAAGACTCTTTTTCAACGAAAAGGCCTGATCTTGGCCTATCACTTCAGTAGCCCATTTTTTTCCTTTCGTCTTTTCTCGTACATTGACTTGGATTTAACTGTAATAGACTGGGAAGCTTTATCACATTAAATATTTAAAACTTGTAACTTCAATAATAATATAATTGTAAAAATGATCATATTTTTTTAAAGATTTTTTTGAAGGAGAAACACTTTTCGATGACACATACCTGGAAAGGAACTTATGATGGCTTTGTCTTCCCGGCTGTTTATTTTCCAATATTTTTACAGAAGAAGGCACCAATTAATTTTTTAGTCACGACCGGAATGGTGATAAAAGCAGCATGCATGCAGATTGCGTCGTGACTAGGTTGAAGTTTGGAAAACCACAAATAACTGGATAATCCCAACAAAACTTTATTTCTCAATGACAGATCTGTTAAGACATATTTTCTTGATTGACACAACACTATGGGTGCTACAGGAGCTGCACAGATTTATATGAAGCACATTCCATTTTAATATGAAAGCTGCAAACAGGCCAACAAATACTAGTTAGATGAGGGAAGACAGGAAATAAGACTGCATATGAGAGAATAATCTAAAAAGAGACTCCGTATGAGAAGCTGGGGTATTTATAAGCTCGGCTCCTTTGTTTCAGTTTTAAATAGTGATTGGATAAAAGTACACAGCATTGTGAGCACAGCAGAAGAATTTAATGACGTAAGCGGCGCAGAACAGGGTATTTGAAGGGGAGTTATCTAAATTAAATCAGGAATTAAAAGGGCTACTGCCAAATTAAATTAGTAATTTGTTAGTTATTGTCTTTCATATAACTTACACACGCACACACACACACACACATATATATATATATATATGATGAAAATTTTTAAAAAATAAATCCATTACGTATTGAAACAGATGCATGCTAATATAAAATAAAAAAATAAAATTATTTGCTTAAGCAATAAACCATTGTGAATAAATATACTAGTCCAGAAGTGAAATCAGTAACGAAGTACGTAAATGCTCGAAAAGTACAAAATACTAAATGTGCAATAGTATTGTATTTTTTAATAATTTTTTAATTATTATTTTTCATGGAAGGCATGCAGCTTAGAGTGCACGTTACAATTATATTTTTTTTACTATTCTGCTTCATTTTTTAGTTTTATATTAGCATGCAACAGTTTGAATATGCATTGGATCTAAATGTTTTTTGTATTTTCAATACTGTCACCAGCTGTTATAGTTTACAGCGCATGACTAAATATTGGTTTTAGAACATGTCTTTTGTATTGTATTTATATACAAGGTGGTTCAAAACTGTATGTCAAAAATCTAAAGACAAGTAGAGGGGACTAAATAAACAGATTTCGTATATTAAAGTGTGCGGTAATGCCGCGTTGAGCTGGAAGAGAGCGCCGAGTGAGACGTATAAAATAGCTGCCTTAATCTGGATTCTTCATTTTCCGCACGGATCTCGAGCAGCATGCATCTTTACACCAAATGCAGAACTTGTCAACATGCATTTCATGTATGGGGCTGCACAATAAAAGGGATTAGCTGCTCAAAGGATGTACAAGGAGCAATTCCTGAATAGGAATCACTAAATCGTAGACTAGTTGAGCGTTTTCATCGAGTTAAGCATAAGTGGATCGTTTTATGCGTCTAGGCGTGATACTAGCATTGGAAGATATCGCAGAATTCCTGCAGTGGAAGAAAGAATACTAAACATAGTAGGTGATAATCCTCCATCACGTTCGAGTGCTGAAGGACGTGTGTTAGGTGTGAGCCATGCAACTGTTTTGAGGACTTTACATGAAGACGGAGTGCATCCGTATCATCTACAGAGGATGTAAGCAATGGCCCCTGATAATTATCTTCCACGACTCGTCTTTGTCCGTTGGTACCTACAGCAGACTGCAGGCAATCAGACTTTTTCTGCAAATGTTTTCATCACTGATGAGGCTACCTTTACGCGGACGGGTATGTTTAACATCCGTAATTCTAACCTGTGGACTCATGATAACCCACATGGCACAATAACACACGCCTACCAAGAAAGGTTTCCCCTTAATATTTGGACAGACATTGTGCACGATAACTTAGTAGGATCGTACATTCTACCTAGTCGTTTAACCGGCCACATGTACAGCATCTTCCTACAGGAGGTCTTCGCTGAAATTTTGTTCGATGTTCCTCCAGCTTTTCGGAGACGAATGTGGTTCCAGCACGATAGATTCCCAGCTCACTTCAGCCAGAACGTCGGGAATCACCTGGACGCTGTCTACGGCTAGCATTAGATCGGATGGGGCGGACCAGTTCCCTGGCCACAACGTTCTTCTAATTTAACCTGCTTGGATTTCTTCTTTGGGGTCATACTAAAAGCCTCGTGTACGAGATTCCCGTCCCATCTGCAGAAGATCTTGGAGCCCGCTTGTTTGTTACTGCTGGACATGTGCTCGACATGCCTGATGTCTTTTCTACCGTACGCCTATCCACGCCACCGCTGTGAATCTTGTATCTCTCTTGGTAACTGCTCTTTCGAGCACCTATTGTAAAATGGTATTTTTTTCTTTTGTCTTTACTTGTCTTTTCAGTTTCCTGTGATTCCTACTGCTTTGCGTGCTAGCGCTTTAATGCGGCATTACCGCACACACATTCGTATACGAAATCTGCTTATTCAGGTCCCTCTACCTACCTTTGCATTTTTGACATATATTTTTGAACCATCCTGTATATACACATGCATATATGCACAGACACACAAGCAGAAACAGGGATAATTACTTTATTACATTCATATGTCTAAAGAGTGCTATCATTTTAGAACTTTATGAACAAAATCTTGAAAAGAGTCTTTGTATGAAAATCACGGAATATCTTGATGAAAAGATGTGGAAAGAATTTAGCTAATCAAAAATTATTTATTTTAATCATCATTAGAAAATTCTTAATGCTTTTGATATGAACTTAATTAAAATATATAAACAAGAAGTAGCTTCTAAATTCATAAAATGATGTCAATAAATTTAATAATGGTCTTCAAGAATCCGCTTAACGTGAGTAATTTTGTAGGATTATTTTCTGAAGGTTAAATAAAACTATCTTCATCAGTTGCGGGAGCTGATGAAGATATACTTCATAAACAGTACGAAGTTGTTCTAAACCATCATAGTCCACAACTGTGTTTATGCATGCTGTATGCGGAAAGGTAAATATTTTTTTACGAGAAAGCTTTCTAGGTCTATCTATCTCAGATGTGTTATATTTCTGGAGGATTTCTACAGACCAGTATACTTGTATTCACGTTACACCTGAAGCAGATCACAAAAAAATAAGCATCTAACCAGTTCAGTTACTGTAAATCGAATTTTAAATGTATTTGAACTTGCTTTTAAGTGCCTCATTAGTTCAACTGTTCAGCTTAAGGATAATTAGCTAGAATTATTAGGATATTATTTGCTACGATAAATTAGAAAAATTACTCATAGGATACTCGAAATCCATCTTATATGTATTCAATGAAGTAAACATAAAATAAAATCAAAGCTTAACTTTGGGTGAAGCTTACTCTACTCGATGAATCTTACAATGAGTAAGACTTTAAAACTAATAATTAAGAGTTTAGAATCCTTCGATCAAAGGAAATTCAGTTGCCGACACATCTCGTCTGCATTAGTTGCAGCATTTCTATAATTTAAATAGTTTTATAGCATGGATAAAAGATTAATTAATAAATAATTACTTCAAGATACTCAAAAACTGTACAGGATGCCGAAGAAATTTCCTTACCATTTGTCTGAATATCACAGAGAGTTACCTTAGCGTAATTCTAGAGATGGGTGCGTCTCCATGCCCTCCTTGACATGCTGCGGAGCTTTTGAGGGCTTATCTTTCGAAAGGCTTCCTCCCCACACTTTCGCCCTGTACCGACGATGAGAGACATGTGACTTGATTATTCCCCACATTGAGATGCCTGGTGTTGGAAGGCCTTACTTTGTAAGGACCGTTTCATTGCGGATGATGCTGAAGAACCACGCCCAGTCCAGCGGCCTGGAAATTTTTTGTTCACCTGAAGTAATACTACTACATTACATGTAAGCACCTGAACAGCAAAATGGGCTGGAGTGCTGTCCTGTTGCATCCACACATGATGCATGGTTTACTTCTCTTGCAGCTCCGGTATTTATCACGTTTGCAGCGTATGTAAATGAAAATTTTAGTTTACACATTCGTCAAAAAATATAGCTTGTACATGAAAGAAGTATTGTCAGTACCACAACAGATTATAGTATAACTAAAATTACACTAAAACGTTTCTCTGTGATTCTCAAACCTAGACGTACGGGGACTTCTCGGACACCCTGTATATCTTAAATAAGATAATTACATAGAGCATTTTCTGAGAGAAATTAATTCGCATTTACATTACTTAAAGCAAAAATTATATCCTACTTTACAGGATACATAATGAAATCTCTCACTTTCTTCAAATCTTTTATTAAAAATGTTTCAAACCGTTGGATTACATTGATGCTCTTTAAGACTTTATTACTTTTTGACAATACTGTTACTTTGATGAAAATTGTTATCAGAAAATTCTTTTCCTCTTTTACCTACTCATTTCTTTCATTACAAAAAAAGAATTAACGTTTTATATAACATAACATTTAAAGATTAGTATTCTACAGCAATGCAATTTAAATACTATTCATATTTAATTTAAAATCATTTTTTTTAACTTGTTTGCCTTGTACAGGTATCTAGTGGTAGCCAAAATATTACTAGCTAATCATTACCTTCATGTATTTCCCAGGTTCTCGTTGAGATACAGTATAAACTTTGGGAAGATCTCTGAATTATATTTTATTGCAGAAATCTCGAAACAGCATTAGTTCTATCGTAGTCATTCTGTAGCAATACACATTTGTTGTTCAAAAGAGCACAAACATTTAGAGTAATATCTTTGAGCTGCAAGCTTACCTAAAACACAGTGGGGTAGCATTATAATTTAAAAGTGACTTTTCCTAAAGGTTGCAGAGTATTATTCTCCTGATAAAACAGACACAGTTAGGCCAAGGAATATTTTATTTAAAAACGTGTGTTTAATAAGACAGCCAACTTCAAATCTTTTTTTTTTTTTTTTTTATTATTAAAGGCGCGAAGTTGAAAAGCCTAAGCTTCCTAGCCGTTTACTCGAGCCTCCAGCTCCCCCACCAAGGCCTCCCCCACGAACGAAAGGCGAAGCCTTCAAGTCTGCTATCATCGGCCTACTAAACCGGGACGCAGAAAAGCCAGAAGACCAGGTGGCACTTAAGAATTCGTGGAAAACGCAGAGCCTTCCTTCAGACAACACATACTTAGGCAACGAAGTAGACGCCGAGAAGGGCCCAAAAAGGGCGTTATCGCATGGACAAAGCCTTATGAACGAAGATAAACCATCCCTGGTAGAAGTCGATATTGAACCTCACAATGATTTTCGGAATAAAGGAGTTTTCCCCACTGTTCCTGAAGAAAATGGAGATGCAAGTCCTGAAAATGTCATTATTGATGTCGAAGGTAAACGAAAGGAGCAAAAATATGATTCATGTTCTCCCCATATTTCTGACTCCAATCATAATTTCTTCTATCGTCTAGATTTTTCTGCACCGCATATACTATAATCAGATACTCACTCCACATAGAGAAAATTTAGAAATTTTAACTCGATATTTAATTGAATTAATATTTTAATAATCATTAATTATGGATTATTTTGTCTAATATAATATGTCTTATATTAACTTGCCTTATGTTAAGATAGTCAGATGTATTTAATGTTTATGCTGATTTAATTTTTGAAGATATTTTAACTGACATTCGATTGTGAATATGTATTAAAAATTTAATTATATCATTACTGCAAGCAGAGAACTACTGATACAGATCTATCTACGATTTCAGCCTAGAATTCTTTGAAGAATATTCTTCAGAACTAATTTTCAGTTTTTACGATGCATGCGGAAATGAATAAGAACAACGTTTAGAGCTATTTGTAGTTAAATAGAAAGTAAAGATTAAACTATTTGGACGTTTCTTCACAGTTCTTACTGTTAATAACTGGAAGTCTGCCTTTTATGGCTAATAAAGTAGAAACGGATATTAAGTAGAATTTTTCTAAAATTTGTGTATACTTTTGGTGACTTGAAATTATTTAAAATACTTTAAAATTAAAAGTGTCAAAACCTTAAATTAGAATTTTATTTCATGCTTTAATATTATAACAGAATGTTTTGACATGACAGTACAAATGATGAATAACATTAATTTCTGCGTTTTCTGTAAAAGAAAATTAATAATTAATTTGCTTGCATTAATTCAAATATTTTGGCTAATTTCAGGGGATTCTTCAAAGCCAAAAGATAGCGGAGGAGATTACGCTGCAGTGAATTTTGAGGAAAAGAGACAATCCCGCCTGTTGAAACAACAGGATTCCGCAGAATCCTCTTCGACTGCTGCAGCGAGCCCTCTACCATTTGACGAACCAGATAAAAAAGAAGAATCTCGTTCCCCAACTCCACCAAAACATATTAATCGGAATGATACAGAAGAAGAAAGCTCTGTTAGTGAACCTGTTACGCCGAGTTCCAAACCTAAACCAGAAAGATTAAAGAAAAAAGACAAAAGCGAACAGAGGAAAGTAAAACAGGCTGAAGAAGACAGAAAGGCTGAAGAGGAAAGAAAGGCAGAAGAGGCAAGAAAAATGGAAGAAGAAAGAAAAGCGGATGAAGAAAGAAAAGCAGAAGAAGAAAGAAGAGCGGAAGAAGAAAGAAGAGCGGAAGAGGAAAGAAAGGCGGAAGAAGAACGAAAGGCCGAAGAAGAGAAAAAGGCGGAAGAAGAAAAGAAAAAAGAAGCAGAGAAAGAAAAGAAAGCAGAAGAGGAAGGTGAGAAAAAAGTGCCAGGGCGAAGGAGAAGAGTTAGAGAGCCATCTCCACCAGTGGAAGAAAGACCAGTTCTAAGAAGAGTCAGAAGGCAGCTATAAGAACGTCTTAATCCGTGATTAAAGAGGAAAAAATACCGAAAGTAAATGCTTGTGGATTTCTTTAAAAGAAAAACATGAGTTCGATGGTTTCAGAATTTATTTCGTAATGATGAAAGTTGTTAGAGTTGACATTCCTTTCTTGTATGAAAAAACTTCCTTTATGAGTTCAGAAACTGTCATTATTGTTTCATTGAAGAGGAATAATTTAAAAATCTAAGAAAGTGAGAAGAAATCTTTGTAATTAAATATTCGAATTTTGTGATCATATTTTTTTGTTCGATTCAGGAAATGAATTCTTTTGTAAAATGTTTCAGAAAAGGCATGAACTGAGTATAAAGTTAGCAAGATAATAATTTTTGAGCACAAATTTGGAATTATAATTCACATTTAAGATGACACATGTGTAGATAAAAAGAATTATATTGTGTTATTTTTCCTTTCTTTTCAAAAATATATTACTTTATTGTTACTTCTATATTTAATTATAGAACATTTCTTTTAATAAGTCATAATTTTTTTCTGAATTTAATTCTTTACCTGTCTAAGCTTTAACTGTGAATAAAAATATGTGTTTCGCATTATATTCTTTTAACAAATAACAGATAAATACATTGTTGTAACACATGGGCGAAAAGAAATAAAATTGTATTTCTTGGCGTCACAGTTAAACAAACATACTTAAACAAAGGCTTCTCTACTTCTCGTAAGAGGAAATTAGCAGTGCTGGTATTCGAATCATCAAGTGCTGCAGTCACCCCTTCGAAATCAAAAAATTATGTGTTATACTGCGAATTAATGCTATGTGGCAGAAACAAATATTAGGCGCAACTTTTAAATTTGAAATAAATAGATCAATTTCACTGGCTTTCGATAAAATCCTTGAGTAGTAAGAATCATACATGAACGTACATACCCATCTTTACGTTTATAAACGTCTTCTATAATTTCAAGAGACGATAATAGTTTTCATTTAATCGACCTCCCCAGCGATACATCCTCACCCTTTCTAAGATTCCTTTCAGAAGATGGATTCAGAAAACTGTGCTCAGATCGCAGTTGTAGGAGATAATTCTCCTTCCACGTTTTCAAAATTTGTTTCAAAAGTTTAGTCTGATACAGTATTCTCCTAGTTAAAGTCTTCCTGTTAAATGGCTCATTCCTGAAAAAGGTCGGCGAAATGTACAGGAAAAGAAACGTAGTCCTGCCCTGGAAACAAGAAATGGGCAGATGTGAGAGTTTGGTCGCTCTTTTACTTCATTGTGGACATATGTAAGAGGTATGTGATTCAAAATTAACTCAATTTCTGAAGAGTAGTCATCATTTTCTCAAAGTCAAGGAGGCCTTTCCAAGAATTTTCGTAAAGGTTCTTTGATGCTTTTCATGAGCCTTTCACGAAACCCACCTCACCAAGGCGCGTGAGGCGCATTATGTTTTCAAGCTAGGCCGTTTGTTGGTATGAAATTCTTTAATTTTGAATCTACTATAATTTTTGCAAATTCTTTCTGACTTTCATTAGTAGCTCTGAAACTCTTAAACGTTGTCTAATATTATAACTTTACAATTTCCTCTCCTAGCCAAAAATTTCCTCAATGACAAAATAAAACGTTTTTTTGACATATTTGTGATTAATTCAATGTATACAGCTCTAGGCATAGTGCACGTAAACACTATGTAAATCTTTTGAGGTACCTTTCCTGATTTTACTAAACTGAGCCAGTAAAATCAGCAAAAGGAGGGTTTTCAGTAATTCTATTTTGGGGCAATTGGCTAGTTATTTATTTAGCTGTTTTCAAACTGTATTTTCGACTAATTAAGCATTTCCTAGTTACTCATTTTGCAATTTGTCTACCTAGTGGAATCCAAAATCTAGACCTAATTTTGACAAGCGTAAATGTCACTTACCGTGAAAATTTTTATTTTGCTCTCGAATAATAATTAACTCTGTAAGCTTAGACTGCTTAGGAAGAAACACAGGGTGCTCATTCTTTGTAAATGCTGCTTCTTTGAATCTTCCTTTTATATGCAACATCCCGCCATTGTCGAGAAATGGGGCTAAATTCAAAAGTGGAGATTCTTTAGGAATCGACTTACCATTTTTGATATTCTGTAATTCGAAGTTAATCCAATGTTTGCAATAAAATTTTGATGCAATAAAAGTCTGATGTTGTTTAATAATTAGTAGTTTGATAATAGTTTAGTAACGTAGTTACCTCCTACTGCTGTTGGTAGAATAGTCGAGATAACAAAATGCTTTTCATGGCAATGTCTGGCTCATTAAATATTATTAATCAGGAAAAGAAAATAAATATTTTTAAATTGAGAGAATTTTTTTGATATGCTTCTCCAAATAATTAGGCAAAACCTCAAAACTGAGAAAACAACGACTTGCTCATTGAATAGTAAACCTATTGAAAATTCATTAAACACTGGGGCTTCTGGAATGCTTCAGAGCATGGCAGAAATAATAAACAAATAAAATGCTTTCTGTATTTGTTTATTGTGCTTTGGTTTTCTTTCTTTTAAAATATTCTGCTTGTGAATGCATATGGCTATGCTGTCAGTTTTTCTACGCGTAAAAACTTTTGGAAGTCCTTTGTTTTTGAAGCCGTGGAGTACTGACTGCAATTCTTGAATATCGAAGGCAGTTCTAAACTGACGAGCTTTCAATTTTATTTTTAATCTGTAGAGCAAAGTGAAATCACAGAGAATTAGAACAGGTGTATGGGGAGGATGGATAGCAGTAATCACATGGCTGTTTGCTAAAACCAGAGTTCACGTGAAGGCCGGAGCACAAAAGAAAAAACATCTACTGGGCACAACGACCCAGTCAAAATGTTTTCAATATAATCTCCTGGAAAACTTCATAATTGCTTTAGACGCTGTCTACAAATTCACGGACTCTTACGCGATGATCCTCTCGGGTGAATTTACAAATATTTTTTGCCGTTTTTCCGCCCTGAATGCTCGTCGTCTTCCTCTGGAGCGGTCTTGAAATGCGACTGCCATATAAAAATAAGTGCCCATCAAAAATACAACCATGAAAAGCTGTTACAAGCATGTCAAGAGTTTCGGCTATAAATTTACAGCGTTTCATAAAATGTTTTATGGGAATACGTTTGTCGAAATAGCAGCCAAAACCGAGCAAAAATTTTAAAAATTACTCGCATAAAAATTTCCATGCTCCGCCTGTCGACGTGAGTAGGTAAAATGATGCAAGAAGGTAGCCGAATTTATGATCTTGATCTACTTTTGTTTTTTAGTTTCTCCACTTGAGAATGCAACAATAATAAACCGGTAGCTTTCTGGTATTTATGGTACCTTTAATTTCAGATCAACAAATGATGATTAACTCAAAATATTTTTCTTTGTTACTAGACTTTACACCATATGCAGCTAAACAAATGACAGTTAGTGACATATTAGTGAGCAAAAATGAAACAATTATAATTATTCTTGAAGAAACTCTGTTCAAACAGTTTCTAGAAAATCCTAATTCAATAAAAAATATGTTTGTCGACATACACGTTAGAGAAATTAAGTTTAGGTATTAAGAATTCGTGTCTAAAAGTATGTGATAAGTAGACAAGCATGCAAGGAAAACTCAGTCATGTTGTTGAAAAATGTATCGAATATTAACCTTCGAGCACTCTTTGTCTTATGCGTACTACACACGTTAAATCTGATAATCGCTGATACTGCTAAAGTTGATATTGAAAATGTGAAATTTTTGGTGCTATGGCAAGAAATCTACAATCTTTTCGGTGATTCGATAGGAAGACGAAATACCGAAAATAAAAATAAAAAAGAATAAAAGAATACCGAATTTGAACTTAGGGACTGGCTGGCATACACTAAATGAGAAGCAATGATAATGCATTTATTTCGCGTAGAAATAATATTGGAGAAGTTTCACATTCTTTTGTGAAATTAAAAATTTTATTGAAATTGCTAAGAAATATGAAGAAATATGAAGCGAAATCATGAACTTCAAAAATAAAGAATTCTGAATTTTTTTCGGTGTTGACCTGTGATCCAATATAACTTTCTATAGTGTCCATATAGCGAGTAAAATACTTGGAAATTCAAATACGAATACCTGTGACTCTATAAAGCTCTAAATAACAAAATCGACTCTTCCAGAGAATTTAGACCCATCATTTAGTTGAATGGATAACGCCATTGAACATTGGTACTTCGTTCCTGCTTCGGTTCCCCGTTCCTCGTTGCACGAGTTTTATCCATGTGAAACGCCAGTTTCTCTACGAAACTTCTCTATGAAAATAGTCCCTCTAATCAAGTAGTCTTCGGCTCTTCGGCTTTCCATTATCATTCAGCCAACCAAATAAAGAAATAATTTAAATCGAATGGAAATGTTAGTGATATGTTCAACAGAACAGAAAGGATTAAATTTAGAAATTTCTGAGTTCAACCAAAGTAACAAATAACATAGATATAAAAGAAAATTAGTTTGTTATCGAATGTCAATGTGTGTTAACACGTAAAATAACTTTACATAACATTTTCCCTCAGTAACGGTTTCATCATGAAGTCTTTAGCTTCATCTGCTGATATATTTATCTAATTTTAAACAATTTCCAGTGTTATAAGGTATTTTCTCCCTCCTTTTTGCATGCCTTCGTGGTGTAACGGTAATACACTCGGCACGTATATTCGAGAAGTCTAGGTTCGAGTCCCGACGAGCACATTGACATTTTCCATGTCTCCTGCTTCAAAATAGCTGAATGAATCTAGAGTAGTTGATGTTGCTTCTTCACCACCAAAGTTGGTTGATGATGCTTCTTCACCACCAGAATTTGGCGGTTGAATCCCCTAATCTTCAGTCGCCCCTTAAAAGAGGGGTTAATATTTTCTCCCTCCTTTCTGCATGCCTTCTCGGTGTAACTGTAGCACACGCGGTGTGTTTTTGAGAGGTCCAGGTTCGAGTCCCGGCGAAGGCACTGCTAATTTTTCACATCTCCAGCATCAAAATAACCTTCTGACTCTACATACTACTTTAAGGAAACTTTAAACATGTATGAGCACATTTTTAGAGGAATCATGTTCACATCATTGCATTACATAATGAAACACAAAGGGAAATATAGACGATAAGTGAGGGTCTTAAAAATATGTATCTTTGTCACCCAGCACAATTTGACCTAATGGACACCATCCATATAAACTCCGATTCTCCGGCGCAAAATGATCATGCATTATACACTGATGGATCTAAGACAAAGGCTGGCACAGAATGTGGATTCTACGAATTGGATAAAGGCAGCATTATCTTCTCCTGGAAGCGAAGACTGAACGAAAGTAATTCAGTGTTCAGGCAGAACTCATAGCCTTACACGCAGCAATCATCCACAGTCGTAGGAATGGTCTTAATCAAGTTCTTATTTATACGGACTCCGCGTCAAGCCTCTAAGCACTTTCAAGCATGCACAGCAGAAGCCCTCTGGTTAACAAAATACAAAGAACTCTCCTTAGTATCCCTATACCTTTCCGTCCTGTACTCTGTTGGGTGCCATACTAGGAAATGAAAGTGCAGACGTTGTGGCTAAAGAAGCTGCCAATAGTGCATCCTTACTTGAGGTGCCCCACACTTCCAACCTCGCTGCTAAAGCATTCCACATGCAAACTTCTTATAAGACAGTGGCAAACCCGCTGGAATAATGATGCTACAACGGGTCGTCGTACACATGCAATGCTCCCAAGTGTAAGCATGGATCTGCAGAGCAAAACTGGCAGCATGTCACATTTCCTTACAGGACATGGACCGTACAAAGCCTATCTGCATAGGTTTGGTCTATTCAACACAGACATCTGCCATTGTGGGAAAGTGGGCAGTCTAGACCACTATTACTTTGAATGCCGCTTGACGGCGAAGTTCCATCTAAAAAAACCAGCACCCATGTTTCGCGCAGCGTGGTGGAATAATATTCAAAATAACAATGTTGCTCTATCGAAACTACATGCTATCACTACCTACTGCGCTGCAAAAACAAAGTAACCTGGAACAGCTCTCATCACAGTCATTCCCCAAATAGCTAAATTACTGTTTCAGCTCCTGTAATATAAATATTTTTTTATACATATATATACATATATATATTATTTATCTTTTTTTTACATAAATGTATGTATTTAACCCTTTTGTTATAAAAATCTTTGTGCCATCGAATCAACTTCTTAACATATACAAATATTTGTACTCATCCGGTGTAATACATTGTTCATACAGTCATCTAACTTTTTTAATATAAGTGTTCATTCCAATATAGTAAATATGCCAACCTAACACATGAAATACCAATAACAATGTTTCATAATGTCTATATATTTCTGTAGTGTAAAAATATTTCTTCCACATTGATTGTCATCACTTAAATGTATCACATTTGACTTATTTATATACTAAATGTAGCATTCATTTAATGCACTGCCAAATGCATATATGTGTATACATACAATATAATTTCCCTAATATATAGTATTGATTTATGTTATAAGAGTGTTCATGTGTAATACTGTGCTTTTCAAAATATCTTGTAACAAAAGAAAATAATATGTTCTGAACAACAGGCCTTGTATGCCAATGTAACTGATTTCCGCAGAAATGACGTTCAATTCCGTACGGCAAGAACTAGGACGGATGTCATCTCCGCGGTGTTTAGTATGTAAACAGAGGATGTATAACATGGGACGCCTTCCTAATCGTATTGTACGCTGAAATGAGAATGAATGATACTATTAAAAGTATATTAATAGCATTGGTAATTAAATGTAGATGTACAGTTAATTTATTGTAATAAACGCTGGGATTTTCGCTAAGATTTGGCAAGCACTACAGCTCAAAACCATGATGAAAGAAAATCTTATAATTGCAAATGTATAAATAGCTTTCTTCTTATTATTTTAACGTTATTATTTAACATGTAGTATTCTTGTGTCAAACTAAGTAACTTTGATTTTATTCTTCATTTTAATTTCTTCTTTCCGTATTCCTCACCAGAATGCAAATTAGCTTGTAGTGTATTTGAGCTGAGGATTCTGGATCTCGTGGAAGAGAAAGAGTTTCTTGGCGCTCGCGCAGCGTTGTTAGAATTCTGCCAGTTCTGGCTAAATGTAATTTCTTTTGCTCTGTATGCTTACC